AGGCAATCGTTCGATGGGCTGAACTGCACAAAACGCACGATCGCACCGGCTAGTCTGGTGCGCGTTGCCATTTATTCAGCTATGCAGCAGGCAGCTTCCCCAGTACTTTGACCAATGCTGCATCACCTGATGGTTAGCCTGCTAGCGATCTTGACTTTCTTTTCGTCTCTTGAAGTATTATCAACTCATTGGTTCTCCGAACAAAAGCATGACGATACCAGAATTGTGTCTGCACATACGATGTCAAATCGAACTTCGGACTAATCCATCAATTGCAAGTCCAAAAGCTAGCTGACCACAAATACGTTTGATCGTAGCAGTTCTATGCTGACTACTGCTGTCTGAAAATGATAAACGTAGTCTTATCCTACGTATCGATGAATTGTACTCGTAGGGAGTAGAACGATGACTCGAATGGTCTTCGAAAATATAACGGGTGCATTAGCAGCCATTTCTAACTGGCGACATACAGCCCTGAATAGAGGGTGCGGCCAGTACTTATCTGATATTGGATGCTAAGATATTAATGCTACTTTTGGGGGTAATAGTGAAGTACATTGGGCACACTACATCATTAACATTATCATTAACATTGGATTTTTGCAATATTTGTCCGGAAGGCTTAAATGGTTTTGTGAGACATCGTTTTGACTACAAAACTACCAAGACCGTCCAGGCATTACTGTGGATCCCTCAAGCTAGAACTTGGCCCCAATTTTACTAAAATGGTCGACTTTTTTGAACTGTATTTGAATTGTGATTGAGTTGTGGTTCTGAGTTGCAATTTTGCGTAATTTTCGACTTTGAATAGTTACTTTTGAATTTTTACAAAAAATTAAATTGTTGCAGGCAAATCGTCAAGTGTCCTTATATGGTTTAGTGTGCGTCTTGCTCCGTATTTTTGCCTCTATTGCTGCCCACCTATGCTTCCGTAGATTACATTTTGATTCGATCATTTATCATCGTCATCACCATCACTACCGTCATTATCAATATCATCATTATCGGCGTCATCACCGTCATGTCTTGTACGTTCTGGTAATTATTATCTACAACATTACTGCCATTATTTGTTTTCTCTTTGAACGAGTTTTTTTTTTTTTTTTTTGACCATTATAAACGGACAATCGAACGTTGCCGAATGATGAACGAGAAAAGGTTGCCGATAATGAAGAGGAAAGTGCTTAATTTTGCTTTTCAAAAAGCGATGCTAAAATCGTTGTGCTAGCAAATGCCACTGCCGTATTAAAATTTCACATTTTACTACTACTATTACCATTGCTACTACCACTACTGCTGCTACAACTATAACTACTGCTTCTGCTGCTACTACTGCTATTACTGCTGCCATCAGAACGACACTGCCCAATTATGCCTCTTTGTATATGTCCATTGCAAGAATTGAGCGCCGCTCACTGCCCTATCGGTCCTCCAAAATTTCTCATCAATCAGTATCAATAAAAATTTCCCTCTTATACGAACGTAAGTATAGTCGTTATCCACTGACCAAGGCGCTCGAATTGAAAGCATTCTCAACAAACACCACTTACTGTTGTGGGCATCCTCTGCCTTTGCCTCATTACCCTCAATTCTCCTTTTTCTCCCTCTTTTCCCCGCAGCAAGCACATTTTCGAAAGTTGAAGGCTTCTTGTTCTAAAAAAGACGAGACCGTACGAAAAATTAAATGGAACTCTGAGGCGCAGCTGTGCCTTGAGAAAGGAACTTGGAAAAATCACAGAGATGGAAAAAGAAGAGAAAAATCGACCGCAGCCGACGACGTTTGGGCGTGAGGTATGAGTAGCTGCTGCTGCTAAATGCGCTATGCAAGTTGTGAGGCTAGGATGCCGCTGTGCAATATGGTTGCTGGGCCTCGTCCTGATCATGAATGGCGGTGATGGCGCTGTAAGACGAACACATCCAATTGAGTTGACGATCGATTCCGGCTCCATACGTGGGGAATATTTGGTAAGTTTTTTTTTTTGTACAACTTTACTATATTTTCGTACACGGTTGCAATTTCTTGGCTTTATTAGTTCTGGAAGTAAATTATTAGAATACAGTAAGTTTGCCCGGGAAGTCTGTGTAGTTATCCCATATTATTTAGGAGTTATCCCACGCCACCGAGCGCAGCTGTGACACTTCGATCCTGGGCTGCATACTTCTGTTTAGTGGGTAACCACCGCCTGTTGAATGTATGTGCACTACTTCCTTAGGGCTACTCGAATGACAGTTTTTTTTTTTTCTGGCGAGTACTGCTCACTAATTCACGATGTTCACAGATTGTTGCCAAGACGAGCACCAAGCCCACCCCATCAAATTTTACCATGTATATTCTACTGTCGGACGACCCAGAAAAGATGGCCTGCACACATAAAACATGCAGTGGGTACTAATTGGAGGCATGCAGCCC